CCCCAAAACCCCAAAACCCCAAAACCCCAACACATCCAAAGCCCATTGAAAAATATCGTGTAAATAAAATATAAAAAAATGTTTCAAATTCCACTCAAACACATCCAAACTGACCTATCTGAAAACCCTAGAGTACCAAATCTTACGACAAACCCTCTAAACTCTTCTTACAAGTTAAAAGACTTCTATAAAGATAAAACCATACTTCTAACAGGGACTACAGGTACTAAAACTCTCTAAATAACCTTTAAAGGCTGATTTAGACCGATTTAACTTATTTTAGGATTTATTGGAAAAGTACTGCTGGAAGCAGTCCTGAGGAAGTTGAGTGGGTTCAAGAAATTGTATATTTTGGTGAGACGTAAGTGGAGGACGAATAGGGACAGGAGAGATGGGATAACTTTTTATAATATGTGACAATTTCTATAGCAAAACAAAAGTCCGGATTCTCCTTAATGGAAAGAGTGAACAACGAGGTAAGAAATTAATTTAATCTAAAATACGTCATCACATTCTCTCAAAAATTCCAAACATCCATTTCCGAATTTACACTTTACTTCCAAACCCATTGCTTGGATTCATCAATTGATCCTAAGTCCCAGTCTATTGCACTCAATTTTGTCTCCAGTCCCAAATATCTTTCAAAAGGAGCGTTTTGTGTCTTCTCTTTCATTTCTAAATTTCCACGCATGAGCTCCTTTCTTCACAATGCAACCTTAATCAGCCATTTTGTTATGAGACAGCCTCTTCTGCTAGGACCCTAGTGGCTTACCTAGCTGCAGGCTGACTACTTTCTCCTACATAAAAGTTTTCATCTGGAATCTTCTAAATTTTAGCTTTAAACTTAAAATCTCTGGGAAGTCAAATTTTTGGGTTTTTGAGAATTCCTATTGGTTATTGTAGTTTTGAGTGGGGCCAGATGTGACTGGATCTAGATTATTGGCTCAAAATGATTTGCAAGGTGGAAGAATGAGAATCCTGACTGGCAAGAGGTGGTTAGCAGGATAGTACCTGTAGCAGGGGATTTGGTCAAGGAGGGATTGGCATTGAGCGAGGAAGATAGGATGATGATAATTGAAGATTGACAGATTGTTATTAACATTGCAGCTTCTGTGGATTTCAACTCTCGTCTCGATCAAGCAATTGAGATTAACATTGACGGAGCTTTACGTATGCAGCAGCTTGCTAAAGACTGTAAGAATATCGAGTGTTACACCCACATGTCTACTTGCTATGTCAATTCCGACAAGAAAGGGTACATAGAAGAGAAAATCTATGACGTCACCTTTGATGTTGAGCAGCATATAAATCATCTCAAGACCTTATCTGTAGAGGATATCGAAAAGCAAACCCCAGACATTCTTGGAAATTTCCCTAACACCTATACATTTACTAAATCAATGGGAGAGAGATTACTCAAAAAGCACAGAGGAAGCTTGCCAATGCTCATTATTAGACCCTCTATTGTTGGAAGTAGCTACAAAGAACCTTATCCTGGTTGGGTAGATAACATCTCTGCAGCAGGTGCTATAGTCTTCTTCTGCGGCCTTGGGATCATTAGAGATGGTATTGGTAATATCAATGTCGTAGGAGATCTTATACCAGTTGATTACGTGGTCAATGCAACACTTGTCGGCACTGCGTACCAAGCTAATAAAGATTCACTGATTGTACACAATTCAGGAACTTCTGGATCAGCCAATCCCATACTTTGGGGAGTTTTTGTGAAAAGTATTGAAAGATATTTCACCAGCTATCCTTATGAGCAGCAGGTTAACCCCCCTCATGGTAGATTCCATCCAAACAAAAGGCAGTACGAGTTCTGGTATTTTCTAAGAAGCAAAATTCCAGAAAAGTTTTTTGAAGCTCTATCCAAGATAACATTTAGTAAGAACATGCAGAAAAATGTCAGCAAACTTAAGAAGGTAAATCAGAAGGGAAAGATGGTGAGTTACCTTCTTGCCCATTTTACCTGCAACGAATGGATCTTTGACCAGCCGATATTAAAGCAATTTCAAGAATCCCTCTCATTTGAGGACCAAGAGCAGTTTTATACAGATCCCAGTGACGTAAGTTATGCCTAAATCTTCTCTCATTTTTTAGATTGTTTGGAAGCACTATGTATACCTCTACTGATACGGAATGCAAACTTTTGTACTCAAGCAAAGAGGAGTGCCGATCCCAGATCAGGACTTTGACAACTTGATTGCTAAGAGAAGAGTCAGAACCTACTTCGATGACATTCTCTGGGCTACAAATCGAGGCAAGATTGGAGTAACCAGGAGTTATAAAGAGGCCATTAACACAATTGTCAACTCGCCTTCTGTCATTAAGGCGGTGTATGAATACATCTCAACCGCTAAGTTCAAGAATTACTCTGAAGAGGAAGCTTATAAGAAGGCCACAGACCAAGCCAAGGAATTTGCACAAGAAATTTGCTCTAAAATTGGAAAAGGATATGTTAAATCAGCCGCTTGGGCAAGCCATAAAATCTTGAAGAGGGTTTATGACAAGATTATTGTGGATATGAAGGACCTGAAAAAGATCAAGGAGCTACAGGAGACGTCAAAGAACCCTATACTACTAATGCCTACTAGGAAATCCTATACCGACATGCTCTTGATTGGGTACATCTTCTTTGCGAATGAGATGGATCAACCTTTCTTCAGTACTCCAATTCAATACATGGAGATCAAGCTTTTGAATAGAATCTTCAGGCACTGTGGAAGCTTCTATGTCAGAGAAGATGAGCAAAACATTCTGTACAAAGCAATCTTGAGGGAGTACTTCTCCTTGCTCATGTCTGATAAGAAGACTATTTCTGTTTCCATGGAAGAGACCAGAGAGAAATCAGGAATGCAGGTGAAGGCCAATATTAATGTTCTGGAGTCAGTTCTGAGCTCGTTTTTCGAAGGCAAGACTCGAGATATTGACATCATTCCTATGACAATCAACTATGATCGAATCTTGGAAGGGGAAACATTCCCATATGAGTTGGTTGGAGAACAAAAGGTCAAGGAATCCCTCTCTAGATTCGTAGCCTCAGCCAGGTATATTGGAACTCCTTTTGGCAAAGCATGTGTGAACTTTGGTTCAAAAATTTCTTTAAAAGAATATGTTGAAAATATGGGGATTCAGCAGCACCAAGTTATTAATCTCTCAGATATTGAACAAAATGAGGTTATCAAGAGCCTGACAAGGACTATCCACGAGTGTAATTCTGAGTTATCAGTGATCATGTCAACAGCTCCATTAGCATCAGTGCTCCTGCAGAACAGAAAGGGTATCTCCCAAGAAAATCTAAGCAAGTCTCTTGAGTACGTTTATGAAGAATTAAGCGCTCGGAATGCAGTATTTGCTGAGAAATCTACTCTGAATGGAGACCTCTCATCGTCTATGACCTTGCTAGGAGAGTTTGTCAAGAAGAAGAGAGATGTTTTTGAGCCGATGGTATCTCCAAAAGTTGACTACAAAAACATTCTCATGCTTGCGTACTATAAAAACTCGCTAGTTCATATTTTCTTGAAGGAGATGATTATTGGAGTCTCTTTCCTTGGCTTCGGCAAGGACACCATCAAATTATCAGGCGTCTCTAAGGAGAGAGTTTGGAACAAAGTGCAGTTCTTATCTAAGATGCTCGATGGTGTCTTCGTTCAGGATTCCATAAAAATTACGGATTACGACGATTTTGAGAAAACCCTAAAACTTATGGAGGAACGAAAGATTTTGTACTTAGAAGATGATTTGATGAAGTATGAGACTCCTCATAATGGCCAGAACGGGCTTCTGTTCCTGTGCAGTCTCATATGGCCATTTATTGATACTTTCTGGCTAACAATGGTGTATATTTACACGCTCTTCCCAGAGAACCACGTCACTAAAGAAAAAGTCTTGAGTAAAATCCAGTGGTTTGCAGAGAGCTTATATGAGGACAACATCGTGCTGCACTATGAGAGCTGTTCGTTCGATATCATTACCAAAGCTCTAGAATACTTTAAATCCAAAGGAATCATCATCATCGAAGAAAGAGAGGGTGAGGGCCTGTGCTACTGTTTGGACCCAGTCTATAGGGTTGATGAGGAGTCTCTCCAGAACATATTTGAGGAGATAACTTTCTACAAGAAATTATCCCTGATAAAATTCACTAATTTGAAGACTGACATCCAGAAGACGATGCTTGGAGATTTCCCCATGATGTCTAATATTTAATTGATTTTGGGTAAATGCCAGCTCAGTTTTAAGACCCAATTTGGGGTTTTGGGGTTTTGGGGTTTTGGGGTTTTGGGGTTTTGGGG